GTAGATGGTACAATCCAAAAAATGGAGGAAGAAAGAGTGAGTGAGATGAGGATGAAATAAAACCCTGTGAAAAGGTGGCTTCAAGGAAGATGGGTGATTAACATAAACTAGGTTCTGCCTAAGTCTGATTTCCACTCTATGCTCTGGCAGGTAAATTATAGTACGTTATTTTGGCAGCAACATAGTGCCCTGTGAGTTATGAAGTGCTTTTAAATTAGTATGGGCATTTCTTAAATAGGAGTTTCTAAAATACCGCTTAGAAAACATATCTGTAATCTTGTCTCTCTCAACTTCTCCATCATGAATTAGAGATCATTTTCCTTCATGTTTAATGAGTCCCTTTCACCTGCTCACTTTACAAAGGTGATTCCTGATGTCCAAACATGGTTAAATAAGAAATGGGTATTGAGATAATGTCCTGTGCCTGACACGCCTTCATTAAGGATTCAGCAGTAGAATTCTGGGTTTTATTTCTTAAAGCAAAATCTCAAAGACAAATCAAACAATGACAGACTTTAAGAAATAACTGTTGAGAGTTATAATGAAAATGAGAACAGTCTCCAAGACCTTCACCTGAGTGCAGAAGGTGGTGGTCTACACAGTGATGAGTGTGAGAGGCGGGGTCTACACAGTGATGAGTGTGAGAGGTGGGGTCTACAGAGTGATGAGTGTGGGAGGTGGTGGTCTACACAGTGATGAGTGTGAGAGGTGGGGTCTACAGAGTGATGAGTGTGGGAGGTGGTGGTCTACACAGTGATGAGTGTGAGAGGTGGGGTCTACAGAGTGATGAGTGTGGGAGGTGGTGGTCTACACAGTGATGAGTGTGAGAGGTGGGGTCTACAGAGTGATGAGTGTGAGATGTGGGGTCTACACAGTGATGAGTGTGAGATGTGGGGTCTACATAGTGATGAGTGTGAGATGTGGGGTCTACACAGTGATGAGCGTGGGAGGTGGGAGTCTAAATAAGGATAAATGCAGGAGGTAGGGGTGTTAGTTAGGGTTTCCATTGTTGTGAAGAGATACCATGACAACTACAAATCTTATGAAGGAAAACATTTAATTGGGGCTGGCTTACAGTTCAGAGATTTAGTCCATTATTATCATGGTGGGAAGCATGGCAGCACACAGGCAGACATGGTGCTGGAGAGGTAGCTGAGAGTTCTATAAATGGATCAGCAGGCAGGAGGGAGAGAGAGAGAGAGAGAGAGAGAGAGAGAGAGAGAGAGAGAGAGAGAGAGAGAGAGAGAGAGTTTGAGATTGCATCTGGCTTGACCACCTAAAACCTCAAAGACCCATTCCCCACTGACATGCTTCCTCCAACAAGTCCACACCTCCTAATAGTGCTGTTCTCTATGGGCCTGTAGGGGGCATTTTCATTGAAAGACTACAGTGGGGGTCCACACAAGGATGAGTGTGGGAGGAGATGGGGGTCCACACAAGGATGAGTGTGGGAGGAGATGGGGGTCCACACAAGGATGAGTGTGGGAGGAGATGGGGGTCCACACAAGGATGAGTGTGGGAGGTGGTGAGGTCCACTCAAGGATGGGTGTGGAAGGTGGTGAGGTCCACTCAAGGATGGGTGTAGGAGGTGGGGAATCCATACAAGGATGAATGTGGGAAGTGGGAGTTGTAGGATGAAGGCAAGGCGGGGTGTAGGGAGACACTGTAGCCCTGCCTCCCAGTAGCCCCAACAGGTGTGCCGGGACACACCCGTGAGGGCGTGGTCAGGGGAGGTCTAAGATGACACGGGAACAAGAGAGAGGGTAGTCCAGCATTTCCTAAAATTTCCGTTCTGTTTTAGGACTCTGGACTAGGATACTGAAATATATGTTAGGAAAAGAAAAATAGTAAGCACAATGCTGTTTCAGGATGCCAGTGCTTTAAAACTTGTTCTCTACACAGGAGAAAACACAGTGCTGAGTTCCCAGCTCTGCACTGACTCAACAGTATGTTCACCCAAACTTGTGGTCCTTCTGGGAGAGGAAGAAGAGGGTCTAGTGCAAGCTTGGGAGTCTCTACAGCCCTGAAGAATGCCTCAGACCAGTTAGTCTACCTGCTCACATACCACAGATGAAAAAATTGAGGGCCGGAGAGAAATGCTGTCTTGATCAGGCTGGTTTTGCATCCCGTTGTTCCCCCACTCTATCACCCCTCGTACTCTGCTGGGGAGCGAGTATGTGAAAGAACTCAAGCCTCCTGTCTCTACAAATGCAGCAGAATGGGTTCGGGTGAATGCAATCCTTTTTGAGGACATACAATGTCAGCCATGCTGCCTTTGTAGAGTTGCACTTCATATTCAGGTCTATATGACTGGGTTCTGTAGTCAAATGCTCTACCACTGAATGATATCCCCTGTTTCTTTACACTTATTTTTATTTCATGTTTATTGGTGTTTTGCCTACATGTATGCCTGTGTGAGGGTGTCAGAAGTCCTGGAACTGGAGTCACAGACTGGTGTGAGGTGGAATGGCACCTGGGTCCTCTGGAAGAAGAGCCTGTACTCTTAACTGCTGAGCCCTTTCTCCTGCCCCATGACTGTATTCTGGAGAAAGATTCTTAAATGTTAAACTGGAATTTAAAGAACCATCAGTATGAGGAAATACAGTAGTCTCCATAGTTTTGTTTTCTTTAGATTCTGTTTCCCACTGAATAGAAAACTCTAAAAACAACCAATTCCTAAGTGTTCTGTGGATCACTGCTTCAGTGCCGCAGTCTGCAGTGCCATGCTTAAGCCACCTTCATGCTTAAGAATGCCTCTAAAGCACAGGGGCAGAAATGCCAAGAATTCAGACATGCCACCGAGGGCTTTTGCTAAATGAAGGTTTCAAAAAGTGCATAGGATATTTAGAGAGAGACCAGATTCTTGTAACTTTCTTTATGCTCTACTGTTGGGTGGTTCTATTGTATTTCTGCCTTACTGAGCCTATCATGTAAGAAGCACTTTATCATGGGCATGCATGAACAAGACAAAGCAGCATTTCCAGACACTGTTCCGCTTATAACAGTGTTACATTTTGGATAGCTCATGCTACTATCAAATATCTTAAGACACCTAGTGAACGTCATAGTTTAGTGACATGGGGCACCATACAGTATCACATATTTCTTAAAACACTGAGTCAGAGTGGGAATGGAGACTCAGCACTGTTGGTCAGTGATATACGAATCTTGTATTGGGGAAATAACAAATTTTAAGGTATCATTTCTGAATTCTGAATTCATCACTGTCACAGCATCGTAGTCTGTGGGGACATGTGTACAGGTTTCAGTGATACCCAGGGTGTTAGGCATCCACTGGGAGTCTTACAATCATTCCCATTAATGTGGGCCCCTTCTGGCACAATATTCCATCCCATATTGAAAGACATCATATGTACTGTTTCCTTACAGTTGTTACCACATGCAGAGGACTTCTGAAGAAGGTTAAAATAAAGAGGTGTGTAGAGACTTTAAGCTGACAGGATGAAGATGGCCTTATTAAGACGGGAGAGATGACAAGCTGAGAGTGGCAGTTCACACCTGTGTATCAGGTGTGATGGAGCAGAATGGTCAGGAGCTGAAACCAGCCTGGTCTACATATTGAGAACATAAAAAAGAGTGTAATATGCTGTTTCCTGGGATACCAACTGTGATGTCTGTACTTGGTTGACAACTTTGAGAACATCTAGAACTAAAACCCCCAAATGGAGGGCACACCTGTGAGGGGTTTTTGCTTAATTTGAAGTAGGAAAATCTACTTCTAATCTAGAAGCTTCAAAGATCTACTTCTAATCTGGGTCTTTAATCTAGATCTTTTGAGCTGGGAAAAGAAATGCTTTTAATCCAGATCTAATCTGGGCTATGCTTTCTGCTGGAAGTCTCTATAAGGCCATGGAAGAAAGAAGCTTTTGCTCCTTGCCTGCTTGCTCTTGACTTGCTAGCAAGTCCAGCTCAGACATCCAGGCTTGTGGACTGAGCAAGCAGGTAAGCATCACCCCTCCATGGACGCAGTGTCAGTTTTTACCTCCAAGTTCCTGCCTTGCTTGAGTTGCTGTCATGATTTCCTTTGATGATGTATTGTGATGTGGAGGCATAAGCCAAATAAACCTCCCCAAGTTGCTTTGGTCATAGTGTTTCATCACAGCAATAGTGACCCTAAGTATGACACCAACCACTTCAGTGTCTTCAGAGTCACAGTAAAGGATGAGTTTCCTGTAACCTTACCTATAGAGGGCTAACATTATGTTAAGCATTCTAGTACATAGTATTCTTTCATTTTTTTCCAAGTATCTTATTCTATGATTTTTAATGGTTCTTTATCACACTTATACTTCATTGTGGGAAAAAAAGAAAAATTCAAGAGCTGAGGACTCAAGACTTGGGTGACACTCAAGATACAGCCAGGGTAGCCTTCAGGAACACTCATCTACAGCTCCATTGGCAAGGTATTTGCTAATATAAGTTTCAGATATTTAGAACACCTTTGTAACAGTTACCAACCAATTACAGATTGGAAATTTTCAGAAAAAATTACCATCTGTGTTGAACATTGTGACACTTTTCATTTTCATTTTTTTCTAAATGATATTTTATAATAATAATATACATGACATTCATATTACATTAGGCATTGTAAGTAATCTGTAGATGGCCTAATATATACAAGAGGGTGGGTATAGATCATTTTATGTAAGGGTTTTGGGCCCTCACTGATCTTGGTATCTGAAGGAAGTCCTGACTCCATGCCCCTTCCACATGCACATGGGACAACTGCTTTTACACGTTTGTCAGGAAATGGGGAGGAAGAACCAGTTATTTACACATGTGGTTTAGTTAAATCAAAACTAGACTGAATATTCATTTTGCAAAAGTTGGCTAGACATTAGTTTCTTTCAATAAAACAAGAAGGGGTCTGGGAAGCTGGATCACTTGATAAAGTCCTTGAAGCTCAAATATAACTGCCTGAGTTTAATCCCAGCTTCCCTTCTCAGCTCAGAGCGACTTGTGTGGCTCACACTTACTTAGCTGCAGCGTCTTTTCTCAGCTGTTCATGCTTCATGAGGAGGTTTTTGCGGTCCCGGAAGGCCTTTCTGACCTTGTATCCTTTGTAGACAGCTTGGATTTTGAAGGCAGCAATGTCTTGTATAGCTGCGATAGACAGGGCACCATGTTCCAGCATGAACTGGATCACCTCATGGCGCTCACCAAGCAATGCATAATCAAGGGGTGTGTACCTGAAGCAAGAGGAAGATTGGTTTTGAATGGACTGTGATTCAAGACACAGTGAAAAACTGTATTAGCACCTAGCAGAACGACACTCATTCTACCATGGGCTTTATGCCAGGCAAAACCTTCTAGTCTGCTCTTCTTTCTTCTCTAAGGAGAAACAAAACAAAACAAGAGGCTGCAGGCTCACCTTTGTGTGGCTGAGCTCTGGGAGCTGGTTCACAAGCTAGAGCAGTGGCTCTCAACCTTCCCAATGCTGCGATTCTTACGTTGTGGTGATCACCCCTTCACCATACAATTATTTCATTCCTACTTCATAACATAATTTTGCTACTGTTATGAACTGTAATGTGATATCTAGGATATCTGATATGTGACCCCTATGAAAGAGTCACTGGACCCCCAAAAAGGTTGTGACCCACACGTTGAGAACCACTGAGCTAGAGGCTATAAGAACACATGACCATTTCCCTTTCTCCCACGTGCCAAGTGATTCCCTACTCCTGTGTGAAAAGATAATCCGAATTATTTTTCTGTAATTACTGACAATTAGTGCTTATGAAAAGAAGCCTATTTCCAGACAGGGGAGACTGACTCCATGATACAGAGGGTCCCTGCAAGTCACTGCAGGTGAGCTGGATTGTTGATAAATGGTGTTGGTAAAGCCCGGTTGCCACTTGGGTAAAAGAAACTTTTTTGTTTGCTTGTTTTTGAGGCAGGGTTTCTCTATCAGCTATCACACCCATCTAAAGAGACTTGTATATTGCTTCATAAACCAAAATAGTGCAGATGGGGCAAAGATCTACATGCAGGAACTGGAAGATCCATGGAAGACTGAAGGAGACCCTAATAGTAAAGAGGAAGTCCTTTCTGAAAAAGTGATATGAAACTTAATAATCATAAAAGACCAGCAAATGTGATGAAGTAATAAAAAATTACAGGGAAAACCATCATTTAAAAAAGACAAAAATGAATATATTGTTTAAATGATACACTGTAGTTGGTTGTTTTTTTACTCTTTGGGGGCCCACCACCCAGCTCCCAAATAAATATATAAAGATTTATTCTTAATGAATGCCCCACCTTAGCTTGGCTTATTTCTAGACAGTTTTTTTTTTAACTTAAAAAAATCATCATCCCATCTACCTTTTGCCTCTGAGCTTTTACTTTTCTCTATTCTATATGTCTTTCTACCCTTCTTACTCTGTGGCTGGTTGTGTGGCTGGCCCCTGGAGTCCTCCTCTCCTTCTCCTTTTTTTTTTCTTGCTCCTCCCTCTTCTTCATCTTCTATTTATTTTCTCTGCCTGCCTGCCAGCCCCACTTATTTCTCTCTCCTGCCTAGCTACTGGCCATTCAGCTCTTTATTAGACCAATCAGATGTTTCAGACAGGCAGAGTAATACAGCTTTACAGAATTAAACAAATTCAGCATAAAAGAATGCAACACATCTTTGCATCATTGAACTAATATTCCACAGCATAAAAGGATGTAACACATCACAACTGTACTATTTTAAGACTTGAGATGGAATAAAAGAACAAAGACTGAAGTAAAGAAATCTCCTGATGATGACAGTAATGTCACTTTTAACCAGACTTGATCTTTTGGGGTCTGAGCTGTCTTCCTCTGTTAAAGAAATGAATGGGAAAGTGGTTGGTGAATGGAAAGGGAATGTCCGGCACACAGGAGCAGTCCCTGTACATCAACTGCTGCTCAGGACCCACACTGCAGCAGGGTTTATGATGGCTGCAGTAGCCTGCCATAGGACCCAAGCTCACATTTACTCAGAGACAACTGCACACTGAGGCCAAGTCCACAGGGTGACTGAGGTAGTCAACACAATTATAAACCATGAGCTGACTTAAGTGGGAAAAGGATATGGTTATAGGGATGCAAGATTATACTCAGAAAACCACATAATGACTACCAAAAAGAAAATCTGTCTTCAAAACTTATTGTACAGCATAAAAGGAAGAGGTTTTCAGGATAAGGGTGGTTTGGCTGCTTCAGAAAGTAAACTTAATTCAGAGCCTGTACTGGGTGAATTACAGATCCAAGTATGGTTTCTTTTCTGAAGCTGCAACAGCTGAAGAAAAAAAAAAAAACAGCCATTTCAGAATGCCTTAATTTGTCACTATTGTTTGGGAAACAGAGGGCCATAAATAAGTAGCCTCAAATGATAATTATAAATAGATGTTATTTTATAAAGTCAGAAGATCTAAGAATCTCTTCTGACTGCACATCCACTAATAAAGAGATTATCAGAGAGCCACTGAACACAGGGCAGTAATGTGAATCGACCTTTACAAGTCATAAATACAACATTTTCATTTCACAAATAGAGACCCAAGAAAGTTAAGCAACTTGCTGACAATTATGCAACCAGTTTGGTAAAACTTCCTCTTCTATCAACTATTGAATGCATTCCAGTAAAACAGAACTGCTTGTGAGATCAATTTGCATACAACATGTATATTTAGTAAGCCTAACAATCTTTCTGTAAGTACTAATATGTAGTATTTATCACAATAAAATCTGGACTGGGAATGAGGAACCTGTGTGACCCTGGGCAGTCAATTAACTTCTCTAAGTTTGTTTCTTCATTATTAAAACAAGGGAAAAAGGGGGGAGGGGAAGACCCAGATCTCTTAGGATGTCTCTGTATTGAAACTTAACATCTTAATATTTTTATTATGAAAATATTGTGTTTTCATTATGAGATATTTCAAGTATAAAATATTGAGAAATAATCTAACAATTCTCCATACTCAAAACTCAAACTTAAGAAGCAGAAACATTTTATTTTTTTGCCATGTTAACTTGTTTCAATTTTTTCCTTTTAATTTTTGCTTAAGTATTTTAAGGCAAATTGTGGAGTCCTGTTAGTTCATCTCTATCAGCATTCATCTATTCAACATATAGGCCCAGCCAACAGGGGCATTATGCTAACAAAATTAGCAGGAATTTCTTAGTAAAATATAATGTACAATTCCTCTACTGTCTCAAACTTGTCTTCTTTTAATCATTGATTTATACAAATTAGAATTTTTAATCAAATCCATCTTAGCTTTAGAGAGACACAATCTAAATATCTGGTCAGGTTTCAAGATTAAAGTTTACATCCACTATTTAAGCAACTGGACATGGTGCTGTTATTATCATTCTTTCCCAAGTTCCATTTAGCAACCTTCAAGCATTGTGAATATTCCCATTGACATGAGAGAGTGGCTGTCAGATGGCTATTGACTGAGAGACAGCAGAAGTTGGCAGAAATGATATCTATTTGGGGTACATCACTTGGTTAGTGTCTATGCACAAGAAGTAGAAATTAACACTACACTGATGGTAACCAGTCAAGAAACAATGCAGACACTGAAAAGAGATAACATACAATTGGACCTGCCACGTGGGAATGGGCTGATGAGTTCAGCAGAACGCCCAAACCAGAGTGTCAATAAACATCAGCTGCAGTGCCAGCTGCTGACATGTGTCCATCAAGGTTCATGGCTGGAGCAACATGGAGACAGGCTGAGATACAGCCACTCTCTCCAGTACACATTTTCATCATTTCTTTACAAAGAGAACAGCTAGGAAATAAACACTGCAAGAGTAAATTCTTTATAATCACTTCTAAACGTCACAGACACTAATAGATTTGTGACTGGCTTTAGGAAATGAGAAACTTCTTTTTAATTAATTGATTGATGCCGCTGCTCTGCATATGCCTGAGTGTGAATGTGGGTGAGCAAGTGTCCTGTCACAGTGGATGTCAGAGAACAGCTTTCAGGAGCTGGTTCTCTCCTTCTACCATGGGTTCTGGACACTGTGCTCAGGCCATTAGACTTGTGCGCTAAGTGCTTTTACCTGCTGAGCCATCTTTCTGGCCCAAAGCTCTTTAAAGACGTCACTAATTTGGGAGATTCCTATCTTTCCTTTCTGTTTTTTATTTGGAACTTAAAGAGAGGAACCTTCAATTTTCTTGCTAACAAAGAGACTCTGGAAGATGTTCGGAAGCCTGATCATAAAGTTGGTCACTACCTGCAATTTACTAGAATCTTCCCATAGAATCTCTCCTGCATAGATTTCCCTTTGTATCTGGTCCTTTTCCTGGGGATGGAACCCAGAGCTGAGGACATGGTAGGCAGGCACTAGAAACTGAGCTACACTCCTACCATGTCTGAGACGTTTTATTGGGCCAGAGTCCTTAGTGACAACCCTAGCATTTATCTGTGAACCATATTATTCAGGAAGGTGATATTTATAGATATTTATGTGTTCAGTTTCATCTTGGCTTTTCCATGCTTTCAGACACATGACTGCAGCCTCTTGTCCACTAACTAATTATATCCTCACCACTAGTAGAAACAACTTGAATATGTAACTCATGCTGCCAGTCTATATGAATTCCTGGGCCTGGTTATTCAAGATTTCACTGGCCATATGTTAGGCACAGGTCCTTTTCCCAATCTGCAAATGTGACCCTGCGGTAAATAGTACCCAAAGTTTTGAGCAAGTGCAAAAGTCCATGGTTCTAAGTGAACACTGCATGGAAATATGGCTCTTTCCTCTGGCTCAGGATTGCTTGGCACAATGTTTCCTTATGAGTATACTTACTATTTCTGAACCAGTATCTCAACCTGAGGTGTTTTTCTTCATCTGAAAGAAAGGGTGTGAGATGGACAACACTATATTCACTCCCCTTCTCAATCAATGGCTTACCTCTCCTCGTTGTTCTCCATCTGGTTAGGGAAAGCAGCAAAATCTAGCAGTAATTTAATTGCATCAAGGTAGCCATTATTACAGGACCAGTGCAAAGCTGTTCGTCCCTGCAAGTAGAACAAATCAACTGTACTAGAGTAAACAATTTCAGACACATAATAACTCAGAAGAAACAATTTCTCCTCAGATTGGTCAATAATAAAGAAGAGATACTATGAAATATACGATAGAGAAAACAGGCATGTTTTAACCAAAGTGATCCCAATTAACACATTCATCAAAGGGCATCATGCACTGTCCAAGGTGAGACCTGAGGAGGATTCGAAATTGATCAAAGAGTATTCCAACCAAGAGTGCAAACTCTGACTTTCACTACAAGAATCAGGAGGCAAACCCAATCATAGTCAAATTCAATAAGATAAATGGTGTGACAGTTATTCTTGGTTGTTAACTCGACTACATCTGGAATTAACTTAAACACAAGTGGCTAGGTATACCTCTGAGGGATTTTTTTTTTTTTTTTTTTTTTTTTTTTTTTTTTTTTTTTTTGGAGCCTATCCTGGCACTCGCTCTGGAGACAGGCTGCCTCCAACTCACAGAGATCCACCTGCCTCTGCCTCCCAAGTGCTGGGATTAAAGGCGTGTGCCACCAACACCCGGCTTGAGGGATTCTTCTTATTTATTTATTTATTTATTTATTTATTTATTTATTTATTTTGTATACAACATTCTGCTTCCATGTATATCTGCACACCAGAAGAGTGCACCAGATCTCATAATGGATGGTTGTGAGCCACCATGTGGTTGCTGGGAATTGAACTCAGGACCTCTGGAAGAGCAGTCAGTGCTCTTAACCTCTGAGCCATCTCTCCAGCCCCGAGGGATTCTTCTTAATTAAACCATTTGAAATGGAAAGACCTACCCTAAACCCAGATCTTTTGAGGTGGGAAGATCCACCTTAAACCTGGGCCACAGCTTCTACTGGTAGCCTGTATAAAGGACATGGAAGAAGGAAGCTTGTTCTCTTTGTCTGCTTGCCCTCACTTGTACTGGCAAGTTCATTTCATCACTGGGATTAGAGTCTGCTTCTTCAGGATTCTGGTATATACTGAAGACTAACTAAGATACCCAGCCTTGTGGACCAAACAACTACTGGATTCCGAGACTTTCTGTTGGTGGCCTGTAAGCCACTCTAATCAATCTCATATGTATATATTTTAGTTTTGTTCTATCTGTTCTGTTCCTCTAGAGAACTCTGACTACTACAAATGGCATGCACTGAAGAACAGATAAAGAAAATGTGGTACATTTGCACAATGGAGTGATACTCAGCAGCTAAAAACAATGAAATCATGAAATTTGGCAGCAAATGGATGGAACTAGAAAAGATCATCCTGAGTGAGGTAACCCAGATCCAGAGACACAAACATGGTATGTACTCACTTATAGGTAAAGGATAACCATGCTACAATCCAGAGACCCAAAAGAAGCTAAGCAACAAGGAAGTCTCAAGGGAGGACACATGAATCTCACTGTGAAGGGGAAACAGAATGGACATCACAGGGGGATGGGGGAGGGGTCTGGATTGGGAGGTACGTATGGGAAGGATCAGGTTGGGGAGGATGGAGGGAAAGACAACTGGAATGGGGGTCATCTCTGGGATTAGTTAGAAACCTAGTGCAATGGACACTCCCAGGAATCTATGAGTGTGACCCCTAGCTAAGACTCCTAGCAATGGGAGATACAGAGCCTGAACAGGCCATCTCCTGTAACCAGGCAAGACTTCCAGTGGCGTGGTTGGGACACCAACCCAGCCACATAACCTATAATTTACCCTGCCTACAAGATATGTTGGGGTAAAGGTTGGTGCAGAAATTATGGGAGTGGCCAACCAATGACTGGTCCAGCTTGAGACTCATACCATGAGAAGGAGTCTAGCCCTGACAATACCTGGAGGGCCAGGACCCAGTGGCTGTCCAGCCCAGAGACCTAGGACAGAACCAAACATGACTGGCAAAAAAAAAATGTCAATGAAATGATTCCTAATGATATTCTGCTATACTCATAGATTATTTCGTAGCCCAATTGTCATTAGAGAGGCTTCACCCAGAAACTGATAGAAATAGATTCAGAGACCCACAGCCAAACATTAGGCAGACTTTGGAGAATCCTGTAGAAGAGAGGGAGGAAGGATTGTGGAAGCCATAGAGTCGAGGACACCACAAGAAAATCCACAGAATCAACTAACTTGAGCTCATAGGGGCTCACAGAGACGGAATCACCAACTAGAGAGCTTGCATGAGACTGACCTAGGACCTCTGCACATATGTTACAGTTGTGTATCTTGGTCTTCTTGTGGGACTTCTAATAGGGGGAACCGGGGCTGTCTCTGACCCTTTTCCCTGCTTTTGGGACCCTTTCCTCTTACTGGGCTGCCTCATTCAGCCTTAACAGGAGAGAAGGTGCCTAGCCTTACTGCAACTTGATATGCCATGGCTGGCTGATTGCTCGCACACACACACACACACACACACACACACACACACACACACCATATTCTATTTTGAAGAGAAGGTGGGAAGAGGAGAGGTTGGGGGAGGGACTGGGAGGAGAGGAGAGAGGGAAGAGAAAATGTGATTGGGCTGGGAGTTTGATCCAAAGATCATGGTGGGAGGTCAACTGACACGACCCAGGCATATGTGTGTGTGTGTCTGTGTGTCTGTGTCTGTGTGTTCACACATTCATACGCATATGTAGCACCCATAAATAATTAAATGTAAAAAAGGAAAGCTAAAGAAGGCATGAAGCATTGCAGAAGGGAAATAAGGTATTTATGATGCTGGAGGAGTTAGTGGGAGAGCTATCACAAGCCCAGATATGTACACATCTAACAAAGATTCTAAATATATCAGACAAATGGACTGAATTAAAGTGATTTAAAGTCAGAATCATAATTATAGATTTTGAAAAATATTAAAAATATATATTCATTTTTATAGTGGTAGATTTTAAGTTGCTTTATTTTATTTATTTATCTTTTTTTTTGAGATAGGGTTTCTCTGTGTGACAGTCCTGGGTGTCCTGGTACTAGCTTTGTAGACCAGGCTGACCTTGAACTCACAGAGATCTGCCTGCCTCTGCCTCCCAAGTGCTGAGATTAAAAGGTGTGCACCACTACTGCCCAGTAAGTTGCCTTATTTTGTAATGGCTGATGTTAGAAACATACAAGAGAACACTGATGATATAGAATATGTAAGTAACACAACCTGGAGATTGGTATTTAGACATAAACACTTCATTAAACAATGACAGATTATAATTCTTGTCAATTATATATACAGCATATGTTGGACCATGAAGTCTCTAAAGAATAACACCCTTCCCTGCAAAGATGTCCACATCCTAACTTCTAGAACCCCGACTTGTGATGCTACATAGAAAAGCAGCTGTCCTGAGAGGGGCGGATTACTCTGGACAGCTGTAATCACAGGGGGCTTTCTGAAGGAAATAAGGTTGGGGAGTTGGTGTCAGTGACTCAGCTAGCCCTTGCCAGCTCTGATGACGGAGGAATATGGCCACGACTTAAGCAGCCTCTAATTGCTGGAAAAGTTAAAAATAAAAAACCACTTCTCCCCAAGGCCTCTAAAACAAGGCAACCCTGTTGTACTCTGGTTTCTTAGTCCAGTGAGACTGGTGTGGAACAGTGAAATAATTAATTTGTGTTGGATGTTTGTGCTAATTTATCATAGGAGCAATAGGTAACTAATCTATTAAATTAAGGTTGAGAAATAAGGAAATATCCAGGTACTTGGAAAATAAACAATAGACTCCCAAATAATGTGCAGTCTAGCAAATAACATGAACATAAGTAAATTCCACTCACATATACAGTAATACTATACTGTAAGCAAGGCTCACTCTATAAGTGTAAGGCAAGTTTAACATCAGAACAACATTCAGTTGACACAATCCACTTTCTCAACAGAAAAGAGAAGAGAAAAATGGGACTGTGTTGGTAGATGTGCAGAGTATTTCATATAAATCTAACTATGATTTTTAGAAATTCCTAGCAATGAGAAATATAGTCTCATGCAATAGTGAAGTATTGGAAACTGGATCTCTGAGAAGCCAAAATGAGTTCAACATAGCCCGTATAACCTATTCTATTCAGAACTATCTGAGAGATCCTCAACAATTCTTAACAGATGATTCCACAATGCTACATATGAAACTGAACAGAACTAGAAAGTCGCTTAATGTATGTAAGAAACTGCCCACTTGGCAAAACATAAAAGATATGCTAAATTATAAATGATACAGTCCTACTAATATTGGGACAAGGACCATAGTTTACATATTTTCCCTATGTTACTTTTAATTTTAAAAGCACTTATTCCATTTATGTATTTACTTATTTAGCATGTGTGTATACCCGTTCCATCATGCACATGTCAGCAGATAGCTTCAGGAGTCATTTGTCTTTCCCACTCAGCTGTCTGCCAGCTCCTCGTTATGTTATTCTTACAAATAATAACAATCTTGGTAGAAACTCCCTGAGTGGTTAATAGACAATCTGTTTTCTGACTCAAAAAACATGACTTATGCTAGTTTTTTAAGAGTTCATGCATCCCTCCAAAAGTGAGTGTTAGGTAAACTGAGAGAAACCCTACTTACTGCATAGAGGAGGAAGTATGGATTAAATCCTGTTTTAGGATTCTGACAGAACACACACACACACCCACAACACACCTGATAATACTGTATAGCACTTGTTACTTTGATTCAGTAGAGGATTTATTCTAAGGGATTAATCCATAAGAAAGATAAATTCATGAAGATGATTCTGGCAACAGTGGAAGTGTCCTGTTATGGGAGCTAATTACTGAACTCTTGAGTTTGGATTAAGGGCTCCTTACTCTCATCTGGTATCACTGCAGGGTAATTGCTGCCATTACCTGAGTTCCAGTTTCCTCAGCTGTGAAGTGGAGTAGGAGAGTAACAACTTTATAGATCACTGTGAGGGCTGAATGAACCATTGCTGAATATAAAGCTCTTGGCATTTTAGGATAATAAGCAGTTATGATTATGAGAAAGATTTATATCAGCTGAGAAAATACTGGTGCTAATTTTAAGTGAACAAAAGGTGGTTTGTAAGATTATATATGTGTGTGTATATACATACATGCATATATTTTATAAATGTTTTAAAAACTATTCCAGTGTATATATATGTTGAATAATATACAGATATAGATGAGCACTACAAGAGAACATTGACAAATGAAAACCATCTCTCTCCAAGTGATAAACTGTTCTACTTAATTCATAACCAAGAAGAAAAGTCTTCTGAGCTGGCAGCACAGAAAGCCCGAGTTTCTACCTCTTTGTCTTGGATGTTGGGATCTGCGTTGTTTTCCATGAGCACAGCCATGCAGTTGATGTACCCTCCGTATGCAGCACACTGAAGAGGCGTTCTTCCTGCATAATCCTGCACATTTGGGTTGATCTTATTTTCTATCAGTATCTGGCAGACATCAGCATTTCCCCCCAGTGCTGCCCAGTGAAGAAGTGAATGTCCATCTTGGTCAACCAGATCTACCCTTGCTCCACCTAGCAAAGCAAAACTGCAGTGAAAATGTCGAATGTAGAGAGCATTCCACCTTAAAAACATAGCAATGCCCTCTGAAAGTTTTTTTTTCTCCCCAATACTTCTATGTACTCTACACTGTCTGTCAGAGCTTTAGAGTGGCCCTTAAGTTCTGGAGAGGTTGGGACTAACTCTCTTTCAGTAAATGAAACTGGAGGTCTGGGGGGAAAGTGAATATTCTGAAATCAAATATTCACCAACAGGTAAGCTTGGGCACTCTTCCTCAGCTTTATGCCCCGTGGCTCTGCGTGTGAATGAAATGGTGTTTCACACCAAGTGTGCCAGAGTACCTACCTTTTGCGGGAGACCTAAGAGATACAATGTATCAACTAACCTTTAATAAGTGTCTGAATCACATCTTTGTGCCCCATCTCACAGGCTCGGAAGAGTGGAGTGTGTTTCATGACGTCAGTAGCATCTACTTGAGCATCATTGTCCAATAATAATTTCACGGTGCTGACATGGCCAGAAAGGGCAGCAGCATGTAAAGCTAAAAAAAGAAGCCAAACCAACTGATACACTTTCAAAATAGCTTTACCTTTTAACTTTAAGTATGCTTTTCTTTCTTCCTCTTAGTATTTCCACCTTCTTATGGCTAACTACAATCCAAACTCCGCCTCCCCTCTCTGGACATACGTGTGCTGCTGTGGGTAGGTGGGTGGATAGTGAGGCCTGGTTGTACTCAGTGTTGTGCTGGAAATTTTGACTTGCAATTGGTATTTCAGACAAAGAAGAGACTTCATGTTCACTAGATGCTAAAAACCATGCCTCTTAGTCACCAATGCATAGTGACAGGCTCTTTTAATAGAGAAAAATTAAAGCAAGGGTCTGGTAAGAACTGATTGGAGGCTATGAAGCAGGGAAGGTTCTAGAGTTACAGGAAGTTCTCTCTTGCATGGCACATCAGTATGGAGTCATGCTACTCAAACTTGAGAAAAGAGCATAAAAATGAGGCTTGAGAATACATTTAGATATGTGCCTCCCTTAAAACATATTTTGAAATGTTAGTAGCTATCAAATATGCCGTTTTTTCATAAGTATGTATGTGTTCAGGTGTGTGTACATGTGTGTGCACACATGTGTTGAGGACTGAGGTTGACACTGGTGTCGTTCATGATTGTGCTCCTTGCATATTGAGGCAGGGTCTCTCACTGACTATGGAGGTCACCATTTTAGCTAGTCAGGCCGGCCAAGTTTCTCTGTGATTTCCCTGTCTCTACCTCCCATGCACAGGGATTACTGGTGGGCCTCTCACTTTTTCTGGTCCTCAAGCTTGCATGACAAGGGCTTTACCCACCGAGCTATCTCTCCAGCCCCAACTATGCATAGTTTCCACATTTTTCTATAAAAGTGAATGATAAGACAAGATTCTCTTTGTGTCTAAGGTACAGCCAAAGCTATAAACCAGATGCTGATGTTCACCTGGTAGAGATACTCATTTTAGCCATAATACTTGGAAGAAATAAAGCCTTTGGAGTAAGATCCTGGCAAACTCAAGCTTAAAAAGTGAAAAGCCAAGTCAAACAATATTCTTAGGAACAGTGATCTCAAATTACTGTCTTATAAATTTGATAGAAATTTTTGGCACCTGAAGCTGGGTGAGCCCATGTGCCAGTTCCTACCTGTGCCTCCATACTTGTCTGCCATGTTAATGTCAATGTCAGATTTTAAACTCAGCATAGTCCTGAGCACGTCATCACTGCCTTTCCCTGCTGCCCACATGAAGGATGTTCTTCCTTCCAGGTCGGAATCATCTTTCACTGAAGGATGCTTTAAAAACACTTTAACTGTTTCCTGTAAAAAAAAAAAAAACCTCATTTGAAACACTGCAGCAGTGGGGTGCATTCTCCATGGCAATAAAGCACCTGCTAGAGGTGATTCCATGAAGAAGCCAAGGATTTTTCCTGCTGCCTTTTTATGAATAATAAAACCTCAATTTCCACACAAAATTATGATCTTCATTCCTTATATATTAGTCCTAGTTTCTGTAACACTTCAAACACAACATTTGACTTTCTCATTCAACATTCTTAAATTTGAGAATGATGACTCCCTCCCTCCCCCCAGGGAATGATGGCAAAGAAGAGGTAGAAGGAGCCAGAGGTTGGGGAAGGCTGCTGGACATGACAGCAGTGTCTTCTGGACATGACAAAGGCTGATGCATGTGTGGATTCACTGCAGCTGTGGTTGCCAGTGCAGGACGGGGCCTGTCAACATTTGGTCACTAAGGGAGAAGGGCCTGGGAGGCCCCACCCCTCTCTGAGGGGCTAGTGACAGTCAGTGGTGACTGGGGGTAAGTTGCCCATGCTCCAGTAGATAACCTCTCATGCATGCAGGAAACCCTATTAAACCCAGTGTGCTGCACACAGAAGACATGGAGTATGGAGGGAAGTTACTGGGAAAAAGGCTTTGAGCAGGAGAAGGTGAGGATGAGTGAGACTATCAAATAACAAGAAATAATTAAAAAATCAAAACATGAGAATAAAACAATTGAGAATGAGTTTCTTTAATTAAGCTTTAAAACCTGTAAGGGCACTGTTAGACATGAAAATTAGAAGACTTAAAAGCCTTTGTTGTCAAGACCAACATTAAGTTAAACATTTCCATGTACACTATGCCTGCAGAAACTCAGATATTTAAGCATGCTTCCAGAGAAGGCAAACAGATTGTCTTTCTGTGTATCACATTACCAAAAATGTAGTGGTTAATACATTTGTTGATTATTGATCAAAAGTTACTGTGAAATACAGCATTCAATTCATTTAAACAAACTTATTTAGTTATTCCTATACTCAAGGTCCTGCCTCTGGAATAATGGAAAAATGGGGACCCTGGACATTCAGTCCTAATTGTGCTTGGCAGTTTGGGTTACTATTGTTGTTTTCTGTGCTGGGATCAGATCCAGGGCCTTGCTTATGCTGCTCCATAAGCTTAAGAGCTGTGTAGCTGAGTGTCTCTCCCAGCTCTTGTTAATATTCCTGCATTGAAAATGACCTCTTTTCAAGCTGGGTGTTGGTGGTACATGCCTTTAATCCCAGCAATCTGGAGGGAGAGGCAGGTGGGTCTTTGTGAGTTTGAGGCCAGCCTGGTCTACAGAGCGAGTTCCAGGACAGGCTCCAAAGCAATACAGAGAAACCCTGTCTTGAAAAACAAAATAAAACAAACAAACAAAAAACAAAAAAGAAAATAACCTATTTTCTAAAACTCAATTTTCTAGGAAGATCAAGAAACTATTGCTTGAATGAATATGAAGAGTTCCAGAAAGATATTTCTGTAGCTGACTCTTAATATTTCATAGAAAGAACAGGAGTTGGAGAGATAGCTCACCAGTCAAGAGCACTAGCTGCTGGGTTCAATTCCCTGCACCTGTATTGAGGCTCCAAACCATCAGTAACTCTCCTCCTAGATGATCTGATTCCCTACTCTGCCCTCTAAGGGCACCAGGCAGCCATGTGGTACACAAACATATCTGCAGACACCCCCCCCCCACATACAATAATAAAAAAGAATAACTTTAAAGGTTCATCTGATTTAGTTATTGTTTTACCCTGGAAAAAGCATAGGTTCTCGGCCACATGAATATTGGCAGCAGGTACAGGGACAGGAGTAAAACAGGAAATCCCAGCAGTTTGTCCAAGGCATGACACGGTTTCCTAATTTTACAACTATTTTCTGATTTTAGTGTTTTTCAAAAAGAAAATAGCCTATGTTAAGTTAACAGAGGCTGAAGTAATCAATGGGCTTGAAATAGAACTTAGAAAATGCTCAGAATTATTAAAATCAAATCTAGAATTATCTAAATCAAACATCTGTAATGTGCCCCCATTTTCTTTTGCTCCCACTGATACGTTATTTAATTACTGGTGTCTGTATTAAAGCTGGAGCCTGATATCTGGTTCAAGATCATGGGTAGGCCATTTCATCTCTCAGAACCTGTAAGTGGAATGCTGTGACCCACCTCACTGGGTGTGCTGAGTTATGTACTGAGTTTTCATTTCCATACATCCATCAGCTTGGGCCACATGACTTTCCTGTCTGTGAAAAGCAAGAACTGCTTCTCCAAGACAATAAAAGATAGTGGTTTGCCAAAACTGTAGGTAGTGTACTGAGTAAAGTTTTAGGGAGGCCAAGAAGGAAAGACTATAAGTATACAGACAGCCTGTGACCCGCTGGAAAGCAGAACACACCCATCAGTTTCTGACTAATTAAAAGAAAAGGAAATAGAATCACTAGCAGATAAGACAGGATCAAACTGGCTTCTTCAGAGAGTAGGAAGGGAATGAAAATGAGACATTCAGCAGAACACTGAGGTCAAGAAGTGGGGATTAGGCTCTGCCCAGGCCAGAACTATCGACAAAGGCCCAAGCCATGACAAAGACAGAAAATCAACTGTGGCCTCTTAATGTCTCTGTGTCAGCCTGCACACTATCATGCTGTTGAGAGAGACCAGCCATAATGGACAAGAATACACTTTGTGATCCATGAAGGACGACCAGGGAAGAACTATTGATAACACTCAGGATTTCTAGAAACCATAATTCACACTGTGGCCTTCTCAGATGTATACAATTCATAATCATTAGTATGAATTGTAAGAATGTAGCCTGTGTTTGGACACCTGCTCTCATATGTACACAATCCATAGGAATAGGGTCTATACCAGGTGCAGTAGACACTTGCCATAAATTTGCTCTAATCTTTCCAGCAGTCTTGAAGGAAGACATATAGTTATCCTCATACTATCTATGAAGAAGCAAAGACTCAAAGAGGGTAAGAAAGTTGTGTGAGGTCACAAAGCTAGCAATCTGCATAGTTGGGATTCCAGTAGTTGGTTTTTCTAACTCCAAAGCCTTGCTGCATTGCTTTCAGGACAATTACATGGTTTCTGAACACTATGATGTCCCTAGTGCTATAAAAGTCAAAGAATGATGCAGCACATTCACCAAAAAGTAAAAAAAATATACCATGTGTTTAAATAAAGCTGCATAAACTTCCAAGTGACTAACAACCTTATAAAAACACAGACCATCACCTGCATCATGGCACTGGCAGTGTGAACAATGATTAAAAGCAATCACTCCTTCAACATAGATACATGTGTGTCCATCAAACTGGTGCAATTTGAACCAGCTCAGTCTCAACCTCCTGTTTGTAGTACTGTATCCATCTATCATAGTATAGGCTAATTGAAGGGGGCAAGGGATCATGGTGTATTATGTCTTATAACTGCATAAAAATCTACAATTATATCAAAATAAAACATTTTATTTTTTATTTTTTTTTAGATTTTATTTATTATGTATACAACATCCTGCTTCCATGTATATCTGCACATCAGAAGAGGGCACCAGATCTTATAATGGATGATTGTGAGCCACCATGTGGTTGTTGGGAATCGAACTCAGGACCTCTAGGAAAGCAGTCGGTGCTCTTAACCTCTGAGCCACCTCTCCAGCCCCCATTTTATTAAGAGAAAAGGAAATCATAACTTACAGCAAAGTTACTCTGAGCTGCATAGTGTAAGGGTGTTGCTCCTTGGCTGTCAGAAGGGATAGTTCCAGACTTGTTTCTTTCTAAAAGGAGATGGACAATCTGTGCATGGCCTGAGAACAGATACAAGGCAGTTATCTCACACAAAGGGGTAAGTCCATTCTTAATCCATTTAAAAGAAAGAAGGTAAGAAAAGATCATTAGCATTCAAGAGCATTTAAAATGGTTTCAAACAGTTCCCAGTGCAGCCTCTTCCACCTTCTCGCCTGCATATTGTGATAGAGTAGAAAGCAGTGAAGCTGAAGACACTGAAAACACGGTCCTCATTAGGAGGAAAAGCACCGCGGTGAGAAGTGCCAGGCTTAGGGACTGCCTCTTAGGCTTCTTGGCTTCTCTGTCCATCATGTCAAGGCTCTGCTTTCTGGTTCGCCAGAACTGAACATCAGTTCCCTGCTACTGCTCAGCTAACTGAAATGAACCTCATCTGCCTCTGAGGCCCTCTAACTATCCTGTCCATGTCTCTCCTCTAGTCTTTTAACATGATGGTAGTAATTTCAAATTCCACAAAAGATGGAGCAGATATTGTGAAGCAGTGGTGGGCTAATAGTCTGTAGTGGTTTCTGTGAAGGGGGAGTTGTACATGGGGTCAAAGAATTAACAAGCTGACTGTGGCAGTGTGTGCCTGAAAACTCTGCACTTCAAGGTTCAGGCAGGTGGATTGAAAAACTGAGACTGGCCTGGGCTACTGAGAAAGTGCTAGGACATCCTCTGGTTATCTTGTCTCAACAACCACAACAGCACAGCACAGCACCTCACAGTATAACACAACACAACACAACACAGAGGGCTAACAAACCTAGGAAAGCCTTTTATACTCTAGCAGAGCATATGGGGATCCAGGAAAGGAAGGGGATGCCATGGGGGAGGAGCCCTTTGAACAAGGCTGTGCTGGGTGGAAGCCAGGAAAAGGGGTCTACCTGGGGCCTGTGCTCATCTACTCCCTCCACATGTGTGGTGTAAGATGGGGTCTTCCTACTCCAAATATAGGCCCGATGATAATCCGTGCAAGAGTGTCAATCTAAACACATCTTATTTTGGTTGAGGAGCAGAGAGAAAAATTCAGTAAAGACTTGAGAATAACATACTACAGGGCAAGGAAAGAGAACTGGCATTGGAAAGATAAAAGAGCATACCTTAGGGATTGTCTCAAGAAGGCCCAGAGCAAAGTCGAGAAACTGTTAGGCATCTTCAATTTAGTTCAGAAAGAGATGGCTTCTAGGAAACAAAAGGGAGGACAGGGAAGGGTGATGGAAGGAATAAAAGAAAATACAAGGAGGTTAAAAGGAAAAATAGGAGGAAGACGCGAATGAAGATACAGTTTAAATGAGAATCCATGTAGTAGGAATAACAGAATCAGAAGTTACAGAACAAAGTGAATTTAGTGAAGCGGAAACAAATTTGTGAAGTATACCCACATTCTATAGGAAAAAGAAAAGGGATGAAACTCACCTTGAAAGGAAGTCTAAATAACAATTACACATCTGACACAAAAGCTGTATGCATGTATGACCATCACTTTAAAACAGATGGCGTGCAACTTAAAACTAAGACCAAGATATCAACAACTGAGTGGACCCCCCACTGTTAGCAAACATCCGAGGAGAAATGGGGAGAAAGGGCACCACTGGCCTTATGTGTGGGAGGTCTTGTTCTTTACTCTGACTCATGGATAAACATGATTTTGAGAGACTGAAAAGTCACCACAACCGAACCTACATTGCCACCTGAAACACCAGGTGGGCCTAAACTGAGTGGCAATAGCACAGGTACTCTATGTGGCAGAAGGTAGAAACAAAGGGCTGGAAAATATGAAGAAAAAACCCTCTGAAAATACTAATAATACCATATTAGTAGAAAAAATATTACTTTTTAATAATGACTATATGTGGTTAAACTACTTCATAGAAGAAAAAAATTTCCAGGTCGTACTCTTTCAAGTAATCTGACACATAACCATACATATCAGATACATACTTGCTCTCTCATAAAAAAAGTGATCCCTGAAAGGTAACAAGGTACATATGAAGAAATAAAATCAAGGACTGAACATAGGTATCGAGTGAATGCCCTCCTTTGCCCACATAACAGCCTTGACTGTGAAGATAGGCTACATTATAATCACATCTTGTCAATAAATTTTCATTCCTTTATAATAAAAGTTAAAATCTTATGACATAATGTTGAAATAAAAACCAGTATTTAATAGAGAATTAGCTTATATTATCACATTTAAAGCATGCAGCAGAAGGATCTAGGTTATGAAATACTTGAGCACATCAGTCTGCTCTGAAAATGTTTAAACAGGAGGAGGGAGCCCACAGGAGATGGGGAGGCATAGGACTTCTGTAGCTGGGCAGTCTTTCCTACCATTGATCCTCTGACTTACAGCAGAACATACCTAGTAAGGCTGCCCAGTGAAGTGGGGTTCGAAATAAGTTATCGTAAGATGTTATGTTGCAGCTTTCATAGGAGGTCAAGACATCCACCACCGTTAGGTTTCCATCAGCCACCGCGAAGTGAAGAGGTGTGCGGCCCTCGTAGTCTTGCCAGTTCAATAAAGACTCTGTTGGGGCAGCATCCTATTTTCAAGAACCAGAGACTTCAGACACATTTGGAATCGTCAATAAATAGTATGTGGCATGCACATTAACTATTTCTTAAAACAAAACCTCCACATTCCCTATAGGCACAAATAAAATGATGCATTGAGTGTATGGGCTAAATCTTTAACAATTAACTTTCCTATTATTAATAATATAAAAATACAAAAAGAAGAGAGTAACCATCATGCTTGCATTAAAACATGTGACACTTTGCCTAATGTGCTTTGGTGTCTATTGTGAATTAGGCTAAAGCTGTGGGTTATTTATTTATTTTTACTTATATACACATGTAGTAGTCCATAAATAACATACATTTTGTACCTGTGCTTCGAATATTTACATTGTGGAAGCATACATGTTATCTCTTTGGCCACTTTTCCTTCCTACATTACACTTGTGAGTATCTCTGTTGTTTCTAGTTCATTTGTTAAACTGGGACTTAGTTCTCCATTTTTCTCCTGAGGAGCAGTTACATTATTTCCACTTTTTTTCACAATCACAAATAATGTTGCAAAGACTATGTTTTCCTCACATACTTCTTGTAACACAATGTGTGAGACTTCTCTCTTTGCTACACATGGAAAGAGGCATTGCTGGTTGAAGGAGTTTTGTACCTTCCACTACATCCTGTCAAGCTACTCTCCATATGCTTGGACCAATGAACACACCTGTGACAATATGCAAAGTGTTTCTTTCCCACATGCTGGCATGGATTAATCACTTGGTATTGTCAAGCTTCCTACATGTTATTCCTAGAATGAAGCTGAAAGACATTTCCCTGATGTTTAATTTAAAGTGCTTTTATGAATGAGGCTGAAAAAATGTATTCCTCTGTTTATGGTATTCAGTTTGCTTTCTCTGTAACTTGACAGTTCACCACACTTACTCATTCTTTTGCTGGATCTTTGTAACAGACATTATGATATACATCTTAGGTTTCTCTTTGACTTTAAAAGCCTTATTTCCCAGCTGCCAGGGACATTACCAGCCCAGGACCCTCTGTTTCTTGGAACAGTTTCAACTTAGGAATTTCCTCACCCAGAATTCCTTCTCAGGTTAGGTTACACCTAAAGCCAAGTCCTGTTGCTTCAATTTGACCACTGAAGGGCCATCCTAGATTTACAGCTTTTTATGTAGTCAGCTCATTTTACCAACAAAGGACCTGAGGTGTGTCCAACCTGGGGCCATGGAATGCCTTATACCCTAGGACAGCTACAGATGTAGCCAGCCCCCTCCCAAAAACCAAAAGTAAGTTTACTTAAAACATCAAGAGATCATTTATTTATTTATTTATTTATTTATTTATTTATTGTAACTCAATTGCAAGGTTCTTGATCATTAACTTTTAGATGGCAATGTCATCAAAGGTTGGACATGCCTAGGCTCTCAGAGTAATGAGGTACTATGAAATCTGTAAGAAAATAAAAGTTGTGACAGAAAGTGAGCAGAAATAAAAATTATCACAATGAGCAGGATGGTATGAACACACCAAATGGGCTTTCAGAGGACAAAGATTAAATGCTCCATGGACAGGGAAAACAACTGACTAGACTCAGCTGAAGAGAGACTTAGTAAACTGAGAAACAAACATGAGTTATATAAAAGGAAATTCGGAGACATGATGAATAAAATGAAAGAGCCCCAAATGCTTATAACTGGAGATCCAAAAGGCAACAGTAGAGAAAAGCAAACATGTAACAGCTATTTGTTTTCTAAAAGTAAGATTCAATAATCAGAATATAAAGCAAATGGAACTTTTATTTATTGTTTTTACACTCATTATATGTATACATGTGTGTATGAATGTATGCATATATTATGTATTGTGTGCTCTGGTGCATGTATGGATATCAGAGGACAACCTGTGGGACTCAATTCTCTTCTTCTCTACATATATGAGTTCTCAGGGACGCAACTCAGGTCCTCAGGCTTGGTGGCCAGTTGCCTTTACCCACTGAGCCACTTTGCTGGCCTTATTATCATTCTGAGATAGGGTCTAGCTATGTAGCTCACTCTGGACTTGAATTCAGGATCTTTGGCTTTGGCCTCCTGAATGTTGGGACTACAGGAATGCATCACTGTGCCCAGCTCCAATAAGAATTTATTTGTTTATTTAATTTTATTGAGATAGTGTTTTCGAGCTCAGGTTGTTTCAAACTTACTATGAACTCCTGATCTTCCTGCCTACCACCCACGTGCTAGGACCACAGGCATGTGCTACTCTGCTCAGCAAACAGGATTTTTTTTTTAATTCTAAAATTCTAGACATACAGCAATGAAACTGTAAAATATCAACTACAAAGAATTAAAAACAGCCTGAATGAAAAGGTAGATCACCTTCCAAAGGATTGACCATTAAGACAACAACAGACTTGATTTGCAAGAACAATAAAAAGGCAGAAAGTAGTAAAACAATGAACAATAGAAAATGAACAATAGGAAAATAAGTATCTAGGACTGTGCACAAAGAAAACCAGTTTTCAAGAGCAAGATAGCAACAATTAGAGAAATCAAGGTTATGAGCTTGAGAAAGCAAGATATCAGGTGGAGGATACATGGGAAGCATTGGATGGAGGAAAGGGAAGGGGGAATGATGTAATTATATCTTAATTTTAAAAAAGAAATTATAAAGACATTCTTAACAAAACACAATTTTGATGAGAGTTGAGGCTCTGTTGGTAGAGTGCTTGCCTAGTGTGTACAACACCCTTCTCCCTATGTGTGATGCCCAGCACCATACAAATTAGGTGTTGGTGGCACAGGGCTGTAATTCCATCTTTTGAGAGGTGGAGGCAGGAGGGTCAGAAGTTCAAGGTCATCTTCAGCTATAAAATGAGTTTGATACCCTTACCTACACAAGACTGCCATAGAACCAAAAGAAAAATAACAGTTTATCATCAATATTTCTATAAAAATGAAAGTTCTAAGAATTATGTATCAGGCTGGGCATTGGTGGTGCATGCCTTTAATCCCAGCACTTGGGAGGCAGAGCCAAGCGAATCTCTGTGAGTTCGAATCTATCCTGGTCTACAGAGTGAGTTCCAGCATAGGCTCCAAAGCAATACAGAGAAACCCTGTCTCAAAAAACAAACACAAAATAATTAAATATCAGGAACTAAGAGGAATGATAAGGCAAATTTGAGATTCAAGGTGAGGGGGGAATGAAGCTAGGAGATGGCTCAGTGGGTAAAGTGCTCGTCACTTGTGAAAATAGCCTGAGAGAGAAGTATGCTGCAGTCAACAAAGCTGAAAGGAGTTGGAGATCTGAAGAGCACTTTCATATCAGACATGGAGATGCAGAGTTTGGAGTCTGTCCTGTTGGTTTTTGGTTTTGCTTTGGCCCAGTATTTCCTCACTATGCTCCCATCCCTCCCTTCCTGGCTTGCTAGATTAGCCCCAACAGCGAGCTAGGGCTTCCACCAGAGACCCTGCCTCAGTCAATAAAGTGGAAAATGATGATGAAGACACCTGGCATCAACACCTGGCCTCCATACACAGACACACATGAACATGTACCCTCACACCCATATCAACACACTTATCAATACATGCATGCATATCACATACACATATACAAAAAGAAAAATGTAGAGAAAGAGATTAGTGAATGTGTACAGTAATCATTACATACACATGAGAATATGTTTTAAAGTCTAATTTGTATATTAGAAGTCAGCAGGGGCCTAGGGAAGCATTTTGGTTAGTTCCCAGCACCCTTGTAAAAGGCCAAGCTTGGCTGTGAGTACTTGTGAGCCGGGCATTGGGGACAGAGACACTTAGATCCTGAGAGCTGGCTGGCCAGCCAGCCTAGCTTCAGCCAGCCAGCTGTGAGCTTCAGGTTCAGTGAGGGAGCCTGCCTCAGGGTCACAGGCAGAGAGTGCTAGAGGAAGAGCCCCAATGCCTTGTTTTGGCCTTGGTATAGATAACCATTGGTGTGTACACCTGAGTACTAATATGTGTTCCACACACACACACACACACACACACACACACACACTTCATATAACACACACACAACCCCATATATACACATATTCACTTGCATACACACACATACACAAAAATGAAAAATTAAAGGATCAAAAAGTATAAAACAAAGCAGGGAATGAGAAATATGAACTCTAGAAGTGATTGGTGGTGGGGGAGTGGGTCACAGGAAACCTCCGTGTGGAGTAAAAGTTATTGTGATGCTCTGTCTCTCAGGAGATGATAAGTCGGCCTGTTGATATTCTTGCTTCGTAATCTCCTGTCTCTCACATTAATGCTTTTGTACCTATTAGATTAGTTTTTCCTAAAAAGGGCTTTAGGGTGTAGCACAGCATTCTACCTACCAGGATGCATCTCACTGTGTGCACAGCGCTTGGATCTTTATGGTTGGCTGCCCAGTGGAGTGGAATCTTGCCTTCCATGTCAGGAATCCCAATGTTGGAGTCATGCTTGATGAGCAGCTTCGCATGCTCTGGGTTGTTGTAGTAGGCGCTCCAGTGCAAAGCTGTTTGCTGCAACAACGTAGTGAGGTAATAAAAAGACAACCTCAGCATCCTACTCTTCTAGGACATCTACTATGTGACAGGCATGGTTTAAGAGCCATCAGGACTCTCTCTCAGAGCCTGCCCAGCCAACCATCAACAGCCTCCCCTCCTTGTTACCACATCCCAGGCCACAACTCTGGCAGAAGTGCCCCCTCTATTTTACCAGGGTCATACCCGCACCCAAAACCCCAGGTAAGACTCTCTCTTGCAGACCACCAACACTCCCTCAGAACCCACCCAGCCTATCCCCAACAGCCACCCTCTCCTCATCACCATATGGAGGCCCACAACTCCAGAGGAAGCACCCTGCACCACCAGATGCCAGAATTCCATCCCCCACCTTAGTTAGAGACCCTTTACCCAACCACAGACTACTCAAGCCTAAAGACCAGAGAGGAAACAGAAACCAATGGGAAAAAACACTCATCCAACAAGGACAAACTCAGAAATTAGACCTATAATTACTCCAAACACAGATGCCTAGACACCAGTGTAAGAACACAATAACAGCCAATCACCACCCGAGCCCAGCTATTCTACTACAGTAAGCCCTGAATATTACAACACAGCTGACACACAAGAAAACAACTTTAAAACACACTTTATAAATATGATAAAGGTACTTAAAGAGGAAATGAATAAACCCTTTAAAGAAATTGAGGGAAAGACACAAAAAATTGGAGGCAATGAATTTAGAAAGCCAAGAAAAAACAAACAATTGAAGGGAATGAATAAAAGTTTTGCAGACTTGAAAATGGAAATAGAAGTAATAAAGAAAATACAAAATGAGGAAAATCTGGAGATGTAAAATCTATATAAGCAAATAGGAACTACAGACAAAAGCAACACAGAATACAAGAGATGGAAGAAAGAATCTAGGCACTGAAAATACAAGAAGAAATAGAAATATTGGTCAAAGAAAATGTTAAATATAAAAAATTCCTCACACAAAATATCCAGGAAATCTGGGGCACTATAAAAAACAAAACCTAAGAATAACAGGAATAGAAAGTGGAGAAGAATTCCAGCTCAAAGGAACAGATAATATTTTTTTTAACAAAATCATAGAAGAAAATTTTCGTAACCTAAAGAAGGAATGCCTATAAAGGTACAAGAAGCATAAAGAACACAAAACAGACTGAACAAGAAGAGAAAGTCCCCTCACCATACAATAATCAAAACACTAAACATACAGAACAAAGAAAGAATGCTAAAAGCTTCAAGGGAAAAAGAGCAAGTAACATATAAAGGCAGACCTATTAGAATAACACCTGACTTTTCAGCAGAAACTTTAAAAGCCAGAAAGGCCTGGACAGCAGACTCTAGGACTACTATACCCAGCAAAACTATCAGTCTCCATAGATGTAGAAAAGATATTCCATGATAAAGTCAAATTTAAACAATATCTACAAATCTAGTCATACAGAAGGTGCTAGAAGGAAAACCCCAACCCAAGGAGGTTAACTACACCCATTAAAAACAGAGGAAATAACCCCATCCCAGTAAAACCAAAAAAAGGGAAGAATACACACACACACACACACACACACACACACACACACACACACACACACACACACACACCCCCCAACCCCCCCCAACAAAATAACAGTAATTAACAATCAATGATCATTAATATCTCTCAATATCAATGAACTCCTTTCTCCAATAAAAAGACTAACAGGATGGATGCAAAAACAGGATCCATCTTTTTGTGGCATACAAGAAATACACTTCAACATCAAAAATAGATACTACCTCAGAATAAAGGGTTGGAAAAAGGTTTTCTAAGCAAATGGACCTAGGAAAAAACATGTTGCTATTCTAATATCTAACAACATAGACTTCAAACAAAAAATAAAAGAGATGGAGAAGGACACCTCATATTCATCAAAGGAAAGACCTGCCAAGTTATCTTTCAATTCTGAACATCCATGCCCCAAACAAAGGGCACCCATGTTTGTAAAGGAAACATCACTAAAGCTTAAATCACACACTGACTCCTCAAACATTGATACTGAGAGACTTCAATACCCAACTCTCAGTGGACTGGCCATCCATGCAAAAACCAAACAGAGAAATACTGGAGCTAACTGATGTTATGAACCAAATGGACCTAATAGATACATACAGAACATTTCACCCAAACACAAAAGAATATACCTTTTTCTCAGCACCTCTTGGAACATTCTCCAAAACTAATCACATATTTGGTCACAAAGCAAGTCTCAACAGATACAATAAAATTGAAATAATTCCCTGCATCCTATCAGACCACCATAGACTAAAGCTGGATTTCAACAATAGAAACAACAGAACACATATAAACTCATGGAAACTGAACAATACTCTTCTGAATGACTGCTGGCAGAAACAGAGAAAGAAATTGGACTTCCTGGAACTCAATGAAAATGAATTCATAACATACTCAAACTTATGGGACACAATGGAAATGGTGCAAAGAGGAAAGTTCGCATCACAAAGTGCCTGAATAAAGAAATTGCAGAGTTCTCATAGTAGCAACTTAGCAGCACACCTAAAAGTCCTAGAACAAAAAGAATCAAGCTCACCCAAAAGGAGTAGAAACCCTAAAATAATCAAACTGAGGGCTGAAATCAATAAAATAGAAACTAGAGAATCAATGAAACAAAGAGTATTTTGGTTCTTTGAGAAAATAAACAATATAGAGAAACCCTTATTCAAACTAACTAAAAGATGGAGAGAGAATATCCAAATTAACAAAACAACAACAAAAACAAAATGGGGACATAATAACAGACACTGAGGAAATACAAAGAATCATTATGTCATACTTAAAAAAACCAGTATTCCACAAAACTGGAAAATAAAGGAAATGGATAATTTTCCCAATAGATACCACTTACCAAAGTTAAATCAACATCAGATAATTTAAGTAGACCTATAACCCCTCCTAGTGAATTAGAAGCAGTTATTAAAAGTCTCCCACCATGAAAAGCCCAGAGCCAGACAATTTTGATGTTTATCAAAGAGTCTGCCACAGGCAACTCACAGATCTGGAATCCTTCAGCATAGCACATTTAATTTTAAGAATAATTTTACATACTAATAGCTAAATGTAGCTGCTGGTGAAAAGATACTTTAAGAACTATACATGCATTTTCTTTATTTGAAATAAAAGTTTAAAGTGGTAATTCTGGATGCAGTGAAATTCCTTGAAAACCACTTTTGCCACTACCATTAATATACCTCCTATGGGGAGAGTCACCATGGAAGAACCAGAGATGCTTGGATGTACATTAGATCCTCTCTGTCACTCAGCAATCCATCTAAAATTGGATAGTTTACTGAGTGGGAGCCAAGCTCATTGGTCATGAAAATTTGAAAAAATTAACATCCATGGTATTCATTCAAAGTGCACTTATAGGCCTTTATTATATTATGGAATCATCATTAATACATTATTTTCTAAAAGATTCATTTTATATTTATTTATTTTGTGAGCTCAGTGAACTCCAGGAGGTCAGAGCAGAGTGCTGGATCCCTTGGAGCTAGAATTACAGGGTGCTGTGAGCTGCCTGGTGTGGGTGCTGGGAACCCAACTCTGACCCTTTGTAAGAGCATCCAGCGCTCTTCACTGCTGAGTCATCTCCCAACTCATTGCTATTTTTAGTAATGACTGAAGGTCACAGAAAATCATATTTAGTAGCAATCATTAATTGATTATAAACACCTTTTAAATAAACATCTATAATTCCTTCCCTTTCCTAGGTTATGATTATTCAGGTTATATGCACTCAAATACAAGATTTTAGTCCAAGCATAAATGGTTTCTACTTATATTTTGTATACCTTTGTTTTTTATTTTTTTATTCATTTTTGCTGTAGTACAATATACATAAAATTGATCATTTAGCAAAATGCTATCACTCAGATGCTGTGAGTGGGAAAATATTAATGCATTGTTGCAAAGTAAAAATTGATCTTCCAACTGACTGCTATAGAAAAACCAAAACTACATAGAGAACAGTATGAGAATTAAAAAGTCCAGAGAAGGGTTAGAGAGATGGCTCAGTAGTTAGAAGCACCCACCCACCTTGCAGAGGACCGGGCTTCAGTTCCCAGCACCCACATCAGGTGGGTCACAATGACCTTTAGCCTTTCCAGAGTATCTGACACTCACCAGCCTCAGAAGGTGCATTCACTTGGTACATATAGACTCTCTCTCTCTCTCTCTCTCTCTCTCTCTCTCTCTCTCTCTCTCTCTTACACACACACACACACACACACACACACACACACACACACACACAATTTAGGAAATCCTTAAAAACTAATAGCAGTAAGAATAATTATCATAAGGACTTTAACTGTATGGGGTCATTGGTGTTAACAAGACTAGGGCCCAGCCCACAGTGGAAAGAAAAGGACTATTGCCTGTGCCTAACAAATGACCCCACTTTTTTCCTGTAAAGAAGGATAAGCAAAGATATGAGCATTGTGAGCAATCTTTTAAATTTAAGAGCAAGGACAGTTAAAAAATTCCTAGCAAGAAGTGAGAGAGCAGATGTCAGGAGTGAAATGCTATTAGTAATTGTTTTATGATAAACATTTATGAGGAGTGTATCCACATGAGGCACTGAGTTAGGCACTTTGTCTGCATCACTTCATTTTACCTTCAGTTACCCTTTTCATGTATTCTAAAACCATGACATAAATGAACTAAGTAATTTTTCCCCAGAACGCAGAATAAGTAAGTGGTGGCTTTTGGATTAGAGTCTAAGGAGGCTGCTGTCAACAGCCCAGTTATTAAAGCCATTACATGTTTAGCACATTGCACTGGCAGACGGCCACCATGAGTCCAGATGCTCTATATTTAGTGCAGTGCATGGGCAGATGTCACTGTGGGTCCAGTGACCACATGTTAGTACAGAGTGTGGGCAGATGTCACTGTGGGTCCAGTGACCACGTTAGTGCACAGCATGGGCAGATGTCATTGTGGGTCCAGGTGTTCACATGTTAGTGCACAGCATGGGCAGATGTCATTGTGGGTCCAGGTGCCCACATGTTAGTGCACAGCATGGGCAGATGTCACTGTGGGTCCAGGTGTTCACATGCTAGTGCACAGCATGGGCAGATGTCACTGTGGGTCCAGGTGTTCACATGTTAGTGCAGTGCATGGGCAGATGTCACAGGGTCCAGGTGTCCACAGGGACTGTGGTGAGTTTCTGACAAATGTTAGAAAATCTTTTACAGTTAAACAGGCCTGGGTTTGGATTCTAGTTTTGCCACTTGGATCTTGAGCAAACTTTAATCCTCTTGAGGTTCAGATTTCCCACCCTTCAAAGGGTGATTCTACCTACCATGTGGTGACTAGCAGGATAACAGTAGACTTTTAGGAGATGCTGGGATGTCTGGACACGTGGAGTTGCCCTCCCACAGGAATGGTGCCAATGCTTTCTTTCCTGAAGTTTCACATCATTAAGACTAAGCATCCCCCTTTCTTTTTCATTTGTCTTTGACCTTGATTGTCCATTACCTTGTTTTTGTCCTGTGTATCCACCTCCCCAGGGGCCATAAACTTCAGCAGGAGGGCTAGACACTTGGGGCTTTTATGCCGGGTAGTCAGATGCAAAGGTGTCATCTCTTCTAGATCCTTCTGCATCCAGTTTGCTCTGCGTGTAAGCAAGAGTTTCATAAAGCGGTAATTTCCCTAGATGAAAACAAGAAAAGGAGAGATTAAGAAGAATTTACTTTGTGACTAGTTTGTAAATACCTTTGAAATGTTTTCAGTATTTTAATCACCTTCACAGAGTATACCATGCAGAAAAGTTAATAAAAGGAAAAATTGTAACATCATTACACTAAGATAGTGGTTGCTTTATGTTTTCTTTTTTCTCTTGATTACTTTTGAACACACATAACTTACACAGTGGCTGACCAGCACTTATTGGGTAATGTAACATGTTTTATTTAGCCAGATCATTATTGCTAGGTGTTTAGAATGTCAGTCTATTATTGCTGGACATGTAGATACTAAAGCATTAAATTATAGATATCTATTATAGAAAATTCGCCAATAAACACTGTTTTATACTCAGTTTTCTCCCCTATCACAAAAGTAAATTACCAAGAGCTAACTTTGGGGGTTAATTTTGTATATTTTATGGTTGTGTATGTTTTCCAAATTACTATCTAGTAGCATCAATATGTAGAGTACTGATTGGCTGCCCCAATAGGGTTCATTAGATTACTATAACATATACTCTTTATATGATCTTTTCACTGTCATCTCCCTCACAGACAGTAAGCTTCAGGAAGCAAGGCTGTATTTCATTGGCTACTCTACCCAGTATAGTCCCTGGTACAAGCCAAGTACTTGATAAATATAAGTAAATTATATAATGTATTGGACATGAAGAAATGAAACAGCTCCTGTATTTCTGTTTTCACTTAAAAACTCTTATTTACAACTGCTATGTGAGATCAGATCAATGAGGAGTCTTAATTCTCAAATAATTGGTATTTGGCTCTTCTTGCTTTTTAAAGCTTCATTGATTCCAGCCTTGCTTCTATTGTACTGTATCAACACTGAGAAGGAAGACATGAAAGTTCCTCAAGAGGGCGCGCTGTTGTAAATTTCCTCAAGAGGGCGCCCTGCTCTAAATTTCCTCAAGAGGGCGCCTTGCTCTAAATTTCCTCAAGAGGGCGCCATGCTCTAAATTTCCTGCCATCTTTCCTTTGAAGGGGAAAAAAAAAAGTGCTCAGAGAGAAAAAAAAATCGGTATGACACTTCATACCAAAAAAATAAAGTTTGACCTTTCTGAGCATAACATTTCAAGTATTACAGAATAATTCATTATGACCTTTTAGAGATATTCATTCAGACAGTCATTTTGGTTGTGGAATCAGAAAACAGGAAGTAGAAGGAAAGTCACATAGTTGATAGCAGTGACCACTAGGCACAAAACAAGGTTCCTGGAATATATGTTTTTGGTAGAAAATTCTTGGGACTCAAACTTCACTACCCAAATGGTATATACCAGTAATAGCTGCTCCTTCATTCATTCAACAAACATTTGGTAAGCCTTGTTATGAAGCAGGCAAGTAGGACAGAACTTTTGACATAGATCTCATGGTTGTGCCACAGTAATGTATGGTGAAAAATGTCTAAAGATTAAAGCACCCCCTGCCCCCCCCCCAACGGCATCTCACATGTAAACCAGAGACAACAACAGCACATAGAATTATCACACATGCCAAACAAGACAGATAGCATCTGAAGAATACGTGAGACACTACACTAAGTGGGTGCCTAGCAAATGTTTGCTAGGATTATGAACGGTTTTCCAGAGACTGGGTTTCCCAGCAGATCTGGATCTTATCAAGACTAGCCTGGCCAGCAAGACAAACGCAGATGGTGAGGTGCAGTGGAGAATGGCTGGTGACAAAGGGTGGCAGATAGAAAGGTTTGATCATCATTATTTATAGTGCAGCGAGTGACTAAGGAGAGAACCAAGAGCAAAGGTAGCTGGGGTGGTAGAAATAATGGTTCCTCTTTTTTTTCCACACTGAGGAACTCATCCATGCTATACCCACAGATTACAACACAGGGCCAAGAGGAGTCTGGCTGGTGCTCTGGGAAGGAGTCAGCTCTGTGAACAGACTCTAGTTTTGGAAGACAATGTCCCATCAGGTATTCTATGACAGCTGGGGCCAGACACAATATAATTCACTTGGGCTGATGCCAACCTCCTGGGTCTCATAGGCAAACATTTATTAAATGCCAATTATATGCAGACTCAATCTCTGCAAATGAGCAGAGGGCCACAGAACTTTCAGAACTAAGATGAGAAGAGGTGGGCATGTGGCTCAGTGGTAGAGTGCATGCACAAGAACAGGGGTTTAATTTCCAGTAGAGAAGAAAAATCAATTTCTTATAAATTTTTTATTATTTTTTTTGTGTGTGCATGGGCTATATGTGTGGGTATGGATTTGAGTACATGTACACATATATTTTTGGGTGCCTAAGCATGCATGCATGAGTATATGTGTGAAAATGATTGCTGTTTTAGAAGTATGCATAGTTATTGAATCTAAGTAATAATGATATGAAGATTTTGAATATGTTACTTTTATATTTTGCATTTAAAATTTTATTTTAAGAAAATAAAACATAAAAGGGATTGGAAATATGACTTAGCTGCTAAAGTGTACTGCAAGTCTGAGAACCTGAGTTTGGTCCCCAGTACCCACAAAAAAATCAAAAGCTGAATATGAGGCATGCTCCCGTAATGCCAGCATTGGGGAGGTGGAGACAGAGGATCCTGGTGCTTACTGGCTGGTCATCTAGATGAATGAACCAATTGAGCTCCTGGTTTAGTGACAGACCCTGTCAAAAATTTAGGTGGAAAGTGGTTACAAGAGACACCTGATAATGACCTCTAGCTTCTGCATGCACATGCACACACCTGCATACACCTATGCATACCACAAATATGTACATACACATTCACCCCCCCCACACAGACATACAGAATAAAACGTAACAATTACAGGCAATGCTCTTTTGTGTGTCCCACCCCTTTTCTACCTCTTTGGAGAGCACCATGCTGACTTGGGTGTTTCTAGATTAATTTTTTATATTTTATTTCATACAAACATGTATATTCATAAACTGGAAGGTGCTACCTTTATAGCAATGGTTCTGTTTGAGTCACTGGCTATCTCTGACTCAAAGAAACACATTTAAAGGTTTCTCCAGGTTGCTCTGGCTTATACATCTTCTCTAGAGAAGCATTCTGTTATAAGGAATGTGTATTTATTCCCTCTAGAGGAATACTTAGCACATTTCTCACTTTTCACAATCAGTGCTATAATGAATTGTTTTGTGCATATCTCCTGGTAAGTGTACAAGAATTTCTGGGCTCTCTTGAAGAGCAGTTCCAATTTGCATTCCCAACAGAAACATGAGAATTCTTGTTTCTCTACAACTTTTTCCCACTTGGTTTTGTCAATGTGTTGACCTTGGCCAATCTAATTGGTACAAGTACTGTTTTGATAATGAATTTAATCTGCACTTCTTTAGCTGATGTGGAATATTTTGTTGGCTATTTGTTTCTTCTTTTGTGGACAGCGTTTTTGTGTTGTTTGCTAATTTGGGAACTCAGATATTTGTCTTTCTTACTGAAATATTTTTACACATTCTGGGTACCAATTTATTTGCTTTCCTTAGGCTCTTTCACTAAGAATGGGCTAATATTCAGAATGGTATTAGATCCCTTGTCCTTTATCTTTTATTTATTCCTTTTTATTCATTTAATTTGTTTTTTGACAATTTCATACACTTATTTAGTACATTGTGTTTATTCATTCCCTCTCTTCTTTTATCTCTCTATCAACCCTCACTCTTCCCCACAGCTCTTCTTCCCATATTCATGCCTTTTTGTTTTGTTTTGTGCCTCAGTGATTTTAACCAGGATCATCTGGTTTGGACATATCATGGTACCAATCTGAACCCTAAATATTAATGTGTATACTTGTAGGTAAATGGTACTTTCAACCTTAAGTTTTTCTTTCCAGTGAACTGTGAAGAATGCAAAAACTCATGAAAGTTCAAGATGCTTAGAATAAATGAAGGTTGAGTGCTTAGCCCTAAACAAGACATTTCTACATCCTCTCTAAGGCCTAGAGAATACTAGAGAAGAGATAGCAGAAGGGATGTAAGAGCCAGAAGACTGGAAGAAGGGCTGGCAAATGTTATTTTTTAGGCATGACATAGTTAATGCAAACAATCCCATAGCAGCTGTGGTAGCTGCAGTGGGCCTGCCAACAGCCAATCAGGGATCAGGGAGGGGCTCCTGGCCCTGGTCCTCCCTACTTAACTACTGGCAACTGACAGATTGAGGAACAGCCCTTGCCTTCAGTTGTGAACCAAATCATATTGGCATTTCTTCAACATTCAATTTCTTCATATATTTTGTTGTTTTTGTTTACAAGTAATTATTATTATTATTATTATTATTATTATTATTATTATTATTATTACTATTATTTATCACTACTATTACAATTGAGACAGAGTCTTTGCAATTTAGTCCTGATTAACCTCAAACTCACTATGTAGATCAGACTGGCCTCAAATGTGTGGTTATTCTGCTGTCTCAGCTTCCTGAGAGTGCCAGGATTATAGGCAGGTAATTCATGTACAATTCCCAACTTTCAAGTATATTTGAAGGAAAGCTTCTTCGCTACTCTTTTTCATTTCTTGCTTTTTTCCTCCACTCACCCTTTGGTTGGCGTCCACATAGCTCCTAGTCTAGTGTAAGAAACCACCTGATGGAATTCTCTTGAGACACTGTCTTCTATGTTGTTAGGGACACCATAGTGACAATCATTCAGTTAATGGGCAGCTTTCTGGTCTTGAGGTTGTCCATTGTCCTGTTCTTGCCAGTACTCCAAGCACCAATCTCTAGAACTGTAGACCAATCTTAGAGCATCCTCAACTTCTAAGTGTATTCTTTGCTTCAACAAAAATACAAAGGTCTTTCATTGCTTGATAGAAAAAGGGGAGACTTTTCTTGAGCAAGATATGGCTAAAGTCATATTTTTTAATGACTTCTGTCTGGCTGCAGTTAAGTGTTTTACCAGCAACTTCTCATAACACTTGGGACCCTCCTCCACATGTTCTTCCACAAGGCTACCATGTTCTCT